TCACAGCTTAGTAAGAAGTATAATGAGGCCAGGTGATATAACTCATGCCTATAATTCCAGCACTTTGGGAGGCTGAGGTGGGAGGGCTGCTTGAGCCCTGGAATTCAAGACCTGCCTGGGCAACATAGCAAGATCCCATCTCTACAAAATTTTAAAAAATATTGTTAGCCAAGAGTGGCGGTGTGTGCCTGTAGTCCACCTTGCCTGGCCAATATTTTAATTTAAGCAAGCACATGCACTAGCATGTGCACTAGGCTACAGGTTCCAATCTTCCAGGGTCAGTGTTCCAAAGTGAGTTCTGTGTTCATATCCTCTGCAGGGCTATTTGGATCTGTCTCATGGCTGCATCCCCTAGTAGTTTGGTACCTGAACAAAAATCTGTTCATGAGCATAGTTCTCTAAGTGTTTGGTGTGCTTATTAAATCTGTGATATGCAGACCAGCGGTGAGCCCAAGAGTTCAAAAATAACTCTGAGGTTGCTTGCTGGGTGCCCTCCCCTTCCACTATCTTCTCAGTGCTTTTAGGTTCCCTGAGGTTTCAGTTCGCTGGTCAGAAACCTCCCACTTTCAGTTTCGGGAGCTGTCCACTTCCACAGTTGTGCCACAGAGTGGGAAAAGAACAACAAAACAAGTTTGTGTCTGTCCTCTTGGTGATGCAGTGCCACTGAATGGGACTGTCTCTTTCCCTGAGAGTTTTGGCTGCTGAAGCTTTTTGCTCTGGCCACGGGCTTGACTAGGGGCTGGAGTGCAAAGAAATGAAGAAAATAGAACGGGAATGTTCTTTTTTTTTGAGATGGAGTTTCGCTCTTGTTACCCAGGCTGGAGTGCAATGGCGCGATCTTGGCTCACCGCAACCTCCACCTCCTGGGTTCAGGCAATTCTCCTGCCTCAGCCTCCTGAGTAGCTGGGATTACAGGCACACACCACCATGCCAGCTAATTTTTTGTATTTTTAGTAGAGACGGGGTTTCACCATGTTGACCAGGATGGTCTTGATCTCTTGACCTCGTGATCCACCTGCCTCAGTCTCCCAAAGTGCTGGGATTACAGGCTTGAGCCACCGCGCCCGGCCAGAACGGGAATTTTCTGCACTCCCTCTGTGTGTTAGGAGTTTCCTTTTCTGCTCCATGAGCCAGAAGCAGAGGATTTCTCCCAGGTCTCTCTCTGTGCCCATCATGCTCACTTCCAGGTATTCGGCTACACTTAGGTCGAAGATATTAAAAGAAAAAAGGGTGCCGGGCGCGGTGGCTCAAGCCTGTAATCCCAGCACTTTGGGAGGCCGAGGCGGGTGGATCACAAGGTCGAGAGATCGAGACCAACCTGGTCAACATGGTGAAACCCCGTCTCTACTAGAAATACAAAAAAAATTAGCTGGGCATGGTGGCGCGTGCCTGTAATCCCAGCTACTCAGGAGGCTGAGGCAGGAGAATTGCCTGAACCCAGAAGGCGGACGTTGCGGTGAGCCGAGATCGCGCCATTGCACTCCAGCCTGGGTAACAAGAGTGAAACTCCGTCTCAAAAAAAAAAAAAAAAAGAAAAGAAAAAAGAAAAAAGGGTGACACAACCAGTTTAATGGTGTGTCAAATTCTGCCTAAAAAAAAATTTTTTTTGTCTGATTTTAATTCCTCTAATTTTTCATCAGTATTAAAGTTTCACCCTTTCTCAGCCAGCACCCCACAAAAGCCTCTAGGCATGAAATGGTGGCCACATGGCAAAGAACTCAGCAAAGAGAGCTGCTGGTTGGTTTCTTTTTCTTTTTTTTCTTTTCTTTTTTTTTTTTTTTGTGATGGAGTTTTGTTCTTTAGCCCAGGCTACAGTGAAGTAGCGCCATCTCGGTTCACGGCAACCTCTGCTCCCTGGGTTCAAGTGATTCTCCTGCCTCAGTCTCCTGAGTAGCTGGGATTACAGGCATCCACCACCACATCCCGGCAATTTTTTTGTATTTTTAGTAGAGACAGAGTTTCACCATATTGGCCAGGCTGATCTTGAACATCTGACCTCAAGTGATCTGCCCACCTTGGCCTCCCAATATGCTGGGATTACAGGCATGAACCACCATGCCCAGCCGATTGGTTTCTATCTTGATGCCAACGGCCAACTCTGTCAGCCAGCAGATTTAATTTTATGAAAAACAAAAACTCGTCATCCTATTTTTATAGCAGTTCAGTGGTACATGCCAAGCAGTGTCTACTCCAGTGTTGAAAACAGCAATGCTGGGCACAGTGTCTCAATGCCTGTAATCCCAGCACTTTGGGAAGCCAAGGCAGGTGGATCACTTGTGGTCAGGAGTTTAAGACCAGATGGGCCATCTTCAATAAAAATACAAAAATTAGTCTCCCACAGTGGCAGGAATCTGTAATTCCAGCTACTCTGCAGGCTGAGGCAGGAGAATTGCTCGAACCTGGGAGGCGGAGGTTGTAGTGGGCCAAGATTGTGCCACTGCACTCCAGCCTGTGTGACAGAGTGAGACTGTCAAAAAAAATTTTTTTAAGTAATAAAAATGAAAAATCTAACAAAAATGATGCCACAGTTTTACACATTTCAGGTGGTTAAGAGAGCATAAGTTTGATAATAAACACGGTACTTGACCTTAAAGAAGACCTGGAACTTGCCATTGGAAGCAGGCTTAGAAGGGCAGCAGCTTGTTAAGTTATGATGAGGTGCTGGGGACAGGGTTATCTGAAATCTGACAGAAAGCTGTAACAGCAGGTGTCTATGAGTGTGGCTTATAACAGTGTATTGAAGAATGTGATAGATGTCAAGGGGTGTGCATGTGCATGCCTTGTGTATTCCTATGCAGTGTGGCTTAGAGGATCATTTTTGGCATTCCCCTAGTGCCTCTCCAGGATGAAATCACATATCTAGAAACAGTAAATTGGTGGCTCACACCTATAATCACAGCATTTTGGGAGGACAAGGCAGGGGGACCACTTGAGGCCAGGAATTTGAGACCAACCTGGGCAATGTAGTGAGATTTTCTGAAATCAAACCAAAATGAAACAAGACCAACCAACCAAATGGGAAATTTGTGTTATGCTTAATTCTTAATGTATCAATCATATTGAAACAAATTTGTGTCTTTAAAATGTGTTATAGCTGAACTGACTACACTTCATTTATTTCCTTAATTCTCTACATCTAGTAAAATTTCAATGCCTAATTTTTTCCCCTTCAAAATTCTCATATTCAAAGTTACTCATATGTCACCCATTTTCCTTTTACTTTCTTCTTTTTTTTCCCACCTAAGACGGAGACTTATTCTGTCATCCATGCTGGAGTGCAGTGGTGTGATCTTGGCTCACTGCAACCTCCACTTCCTGGATCCAAGCAATTCTCCTGCCACAGCCTCCTGAGTAGCTGTGACTACAGGTGCCTGCCACCACCCCTGGCTTATTTATGTATTTTTAGTAGAGGTGGGATTTCACCATGTTGGTCAGGCTGGTCTTGAACTCCTGACCTCAAGTGATCCACCTGCCTTGGCCTCCCAAAGTGCTGAGATTACAGGTGTAAGCCACCGTGCCTGGCCTATTTTATTTTAAAAAGTTATTATTAATTTAATAGATTTGTTTTATGATCTTTCTAAATGCCTTTCTTCTAAGATATGTCGTCATACATGTCTAATACTGCTAGCAGGTTCATGGTTTATACACACACACACACACACGCATATATGGAAAAATACCTATGATATAAACATTTAAAAATACATATAAGCAAGAATGGAGAATTTAAATTGTCCCAAATTCTACTTATTGGAGGTAAACATTGGAATATGTATGTATATATATGATTATAAATACATAGTTTGAAGAAATGAGATTGCTTCCTCTCTTGGCCATATATTGGGGATATCATTTCCTGACTATATATATAGATCTATAGCATAACTTTAAAAACATTGTAGTAAAAGATACATAACATAAAATTTACCATTGTAACAATTTGGAAGTGTACAGTTCAGTGGAATTAGGTATATTCACATTGTTGTGCAACCATCACCCCCATCCATGTCCAGCACTTTACCATCTTCTCAAACTGAAATTGTGCACCCGTTAGCATCATTTTTCATGGCTTGTGGATGTCATATAATTTCTTTCAGAAACCCCTGTTGTTATACATTTAGGTTTCTCTTTTTCTCTGATATAAATATCCCTTATCAACGATGCTTCAGCAAGATCTCTTGTGCATACATCTTGCAGACATATTATTTCTGAAGGATAAATTCCTAGAACTGGGATTTGCTAGGGCCCGCAGGAGGAATTCCAATTTGTACTCACTTGTATGAGTGCAAGGACACTTTCAGAGTTTAACGACAGGAGGTGTTACCATTCTTCTTTTGCTATTTGTCCATGTGACAGGCAAAAGTTGCTGGTAGTTACTTTAATACTGTTTGGGTTGCTAGTACAGGTTCCTTTTTTTTAAATCCTACATAGTGTTAGTGTCTTGATTCTGAACTTTTGGAATGTGTCAGTGTAGAAAGAGCTAACACTTCCAATGTACACAACCCAGACATTTCATGACCCTAGGCTGACTTCGACGCTGCAAGCCTTCCTCTCGGTTCCCTGGAGTTCCCGTGGGGTGCTCCCGGCCGGCCACCGGCTGTCTTAGTTTCTGTTACAAGGCGAGTCTCGAACTTCAGGCATCTGGGTCCTCGCGCAGCGGGTCTGGGCCGGAGTGGGGAATCCGCCTTCCCAGCAAGGCCCCTGCTGATGCCGCGGTTCTGAGGACTACGCTTTGGAACCCACGGCCTCGCAGTGCGTCGAGATCTGACAACTGCTCTGCACGGGCCTGGCACCAGGCTGAAGCAATAGTCGGTCAAGGCAAAATCGCCCTCGCAAGTTCAGGAAGCAGAAACCAGAGCGGGAGACGGGGTAGGTGCGCGGGGGCACCGCCGCTGCGCGTGCTCCGGCTTCAGTGCACGGTCGGAGGCGGACGCCAGGGGGCAGCAGCGTCGCGCTCGTCCCCAGGACGCGCTTCTGACCGCGCAGGCGCAGTAGGCCCGGTGCGTGCTAGCCCGGGGTAGCAGGAGGCGCAGAGACTTGGGTTGCAGGTAGGTGCTGGGGCGAGGAGGGGCGAGAGGGCCAAGGGGCGAGGGGTTCGAGGGGCGGCAGGGCTCAACGGCGAGGAGCGAGGGGCGAGGGGCTTGCAGCTGGGTTTCCCGCGCGGCCTATAAGTGACGCGGCCTGCACCCCCCGCAGCCCCGGCCGCTTCCACGCAAGCGGTCCGGAGGCTCCCAAGGAGGCTGCGCGGGGCCCGGCAGCCGAGTCCACCGCACCCGGCCCCTTCCTCCGCGCCCCGCCCTGCTTTGGAGCTGGGCATTAAAGGACCCGACGAGAGCCGGTCGCGATGGCTCCCGCATGTAATCCCAGCGGTTTTGGAGGCCGAGGCGGGAGGATCGCTTGAGCTCAGGGGAGAGCAGCCTGGGCAACATGGCGGAACCCCTGTCTCTGTTAAAAAACTTGGCCGGCTGCGGTTGCCCGCCTGTTATACCAGCTACTCGGGAGACTGAGGCGGGAGAATCCCTTGAACCCGGGGGCGGAGGTTTCAGTGAGCTGAGATCACGCCATTGCACTGCAGCCTGGGGGGCAGAGTGTGAGGCTGTTTCTATTATTTTGTTATTATTTGAGACGGAGTCTCGCTCTGTCGCCCAGGCTGGAGTGCATGGGCGCTATCTTGGCTCCCAGGTTCAATCCATTCTCCTGCCTCAGTCTCCGGAGTAGCTAGGGTTATGGGCACCCACCACCACGCCTGGCTTAGTTTTGTGTTTTTAGTAGAGACGGAGTTTCGCCATGCTGAACAAGCTGTTCTTGAACCTTTGACCTCAGGTGATCTACCTGCCTCGGCCTCCCAAAGTGAGGGAATTACAGGCAAGAGCCTGGCGGAGGCTGTCTCTAAAAACAAAACAAAACAAAACGAAAAAACCAGAAAGGACTCCACCTCAGCTCTTTGCCTTTGGGTGTTTATTCTGAACGAGATCATTGTTGCCCGGGTGTGTTAAGTGTGATTATATTCTTTTTTTTAGAAAGCAAAATTTCCCTGTTTTATTGCATAATCTTGTCTTTACCACCCTTTGCCTTTACTATAGAACCCTAAGGCTAGATAAACATCCAGAATGTTTAAAATAATCCTCTTAATGTACCTTGTGCTTTATTGGCAAAATGGAATTCTACTCTAAATTGTATTAAATGACACTACTCTGTCTTCTCTAGTTGTTGAAAATACCTTGTAAGTCGGTAAAAACTAGTTTTGTTCCTGTGCTTTTTTTTCCCTTTAAGCTGTAAATGTAGAGCAGTGGATCCCAAGTTTTTCTCTATCAGTAAGCCTTCCCACATGTCGTGCCTGCATTTCTTCTGCCCAATCTTCCCACCTTCTTTATTCCTTAATGTGCAGGCTGTTTTTCAGGACCAGTAAATTTCAGTGTTTTTTGCTTGTTTCTGGACCAGAAAGTTCCTTCAGCCACACAGCCTCATGCTATGCTCTGGGTGGCCTACTCCAGAATATGCCTCTGAAACAAAAAAGCAAATCAGGGGTCGAGGTGGGCTAAAGTCTTCTTTAAGAAACCAGCAGTCCCAGGGTCCCCCAGGCAGCCTCCAGGTGACCACACTGGGTTTGATTTAGTTCATCTCCTGAGCATTGCAGAGTAAGAATGGGCTTGAGGCCAGAAAACTTGGCTCTCCTGTGTATAATTTAGTGACCTTGGATATATTACTTCATCTCTGACTCAGTTGTCTTATCTGTGAAATGGGAATAACAACAATTATATCCACCTCACAGAACTGGTGTGAAGTTGACATTCAGATGAACTTTTGGGTATTTTTTTATTTATTTCATTTTGGTTTGGTTTCTTTTTGCTGAGAGAGGATTCAAAAGTGAATGTGAGAACTTAGGGATATAGAAAAGGTTACTGGGGAATATAAAATTTGGATTCAGCAAGAAATGCATTAAAGGTTTTCTGAATAATGATGAGGGTCCAACGCAGATTAGAAAATAAGCATTTCCAGGGTCCTACAGAGTTTTGTCGCTGATTTTTGCAGCCTTTGAGTGGAAATGAAGTGGACAGGGCAAGTGACACGGGGCTGGTGAATGACAAGCAAATCTGGGTTTATGATGAAGCCTCTAGATGCTTTACTTGCACAAATACCTTCCAAAACCCTGGCAAGGGGCTCAGCAGTTTTTACTTTCATAATTGTCTATTCTTCCCTTAAAGAATTACCTACCGCCCCTTACCCCCGGTTGTTTAAGCTTCAGGCCCCATAAAACCTGACTTCACCCTTAGTGGCAAGGAAGGATCCGTGGGAGGTTAGGCATAAAGAGGGTTGGAGAGTTGAAAGGATTCACCATGGGGTTTGAGCTGGGGAACTTGGATTGGAGAAGGAGGTGGCAGATAAAGGGCCTCAGAGGACGGGAGCCTTGAGGAGAGGAAGAGCAGATTCAGTGAAGCAATTACAGGAGAGGGAAGGCAGCCTGTGTGGCTGAGGCCATGAAGAGGGAGAGGTGCAGAGTGACCAGGCGGTTGGTGCGTCTTTGCCAAGCACCTGCTGCATGCCGGAACAGGGACAGGACAGGCAGGCAGGCCTCTTAGTGCTCAGAATCTAGAGGAAGCCTTTGAGGACTGAGGAAAGCTCGGGCTGGGGTGTGGGATGCAGGGAGGATCTAGGGAGGCCGGGAGGGCTAGATTTCAGGAGGCCACATAAGAGTTTGGACTTGATCCTGAGGGCTGAGTTGGGGGCTTTTGAATGTTAAGCAAAGTGGGATCAGATCTGTGCTTTAGAAAGCTCTCCCTGCGTGTATCAGAGAAACTTCCACATATGCCTGGGGAGATGTGTACATAACTACGTAACTTGTCTCACTGATTGTGGAAAAGTCAAACCAGTTGAAAATAGTGAACCGGAACTTTGTGTATCTGCATGGATAAATCTCAAAAACGTAACCTTGAGCTTTTAAAAAAGCCAGTTGCAAGAGGATAATACCAGCCCACCACTGTTTGTATAAAGCTGGAAAACATAATGTATTATTATGGGCACATACTTGTGGTGAAAATAAAAATCACGTATTGGAAGCTGAATTCAGTGGCCCATGCCTATAGTGAGTCCCACGTTCACTGGAGCCCAGAGTCCAGCCTGGGCAACGTAGTGTGACTCCTGGTTGTAAGTAGGTAGGTAAATAGATAAGGTAGATTAGATGATTGATTAGATAGATAGGTAGGTAGATAGATAGCATGTGTAGGACTTAACAGATACCAGTATTTTTTAGACTTTAGCATACATCCAAATCACCTAGAGGACTTTTTAAAACACAGATTTTCATTTCTGATTCAGTAGGTCTGGGATGAGGACCCAAGAATTTGCATTTCTCCCAAGGTCCTGAGCAGTGGTGATGCCACCAGTCTGGGGACCTCAGTTTGAGAATCTCTGATGTCCACCAACTTGACAACTTGAAGACAGTGATCACTTCTTGGGAGGGAACAGAACTGGATGGGGAGGCGTCCAGAGGGGCTTCAACTCCATTTGTAATATTTAATTTCTTTAAAAAAAAAAATCTGAAAAAATGATGCAATGTAACTTGACAAAGCTGGATGGATGTTCATTGATGTTTTAAATTTTTCTCTGTGTGAAACATTTAATTAAAGAAAAAGGATCCTATTGTTTGCTGTGTAATCCTCAGAATGGACCGGAAAAGAGGAAGAACTGGGTGTCGTCATGGGAATCTTTTGCGGAAACCCAGGTGAGAGGCGCTGCTGACTTACACCGGAGGTGGGAAGGTGGGGGGTGGGGGGTGGGAGCGGCAGCAAGGAAGGAGAGAGGCGAGCAGCTGTGAGGGAAGTTTGGATGGGAGCATTGACTCCATGTGGTAATTGGTTGGTTTAGAGGTTAGGGGAGGGTGGAATCAAGTCATGCACCTGGCCTGTGACTTGAGTGGGTGGTTGGGTCAGGAGCCGATCACCAAGGGAGCCCTAGAGAAGGGGCGTGTGGGGACAGGTGGGAGTTCTGGAGTGGACATCCCATATGTTGATAGCCCAGTGAGCCAAACATAGGAGAGATCTGGGCTGCAGTGCAGACTTAGAAAGCATCAGAGTTCAGATGGCTGCCAGTGCCCCAGGTGTGGGTGAGGTTACCTGGGCCTTTGGCAGACCTGAAGCAATGCTGTCACCTAAGGCAGGGCTTGGCCAACCACAGCTTGCTGCTTGTTTTGTATAGCCTGAGAGCTGAGAATGCTTTTATCTTTTTAAATGTTAAGGGGAGAATTCAGTGAAGATATAATCACAAACCATAACGTTTGACATTTTAAAGTGCACAATTCAGTGCTATTTAGCATATTCACAAGGTTGTACAACCATCATCACTGTCTAATTTAGGAACATTGTAGCCAAAAAGAGACCCCATCCCCATCAGCAGCTATTCTACCCCCGACCCCCCAGCCTCTGACAGCCACGAATCTATGTTCTGTCTCTGAATTTGCTTCTTCTGGACATTTCATGTAAATGGAATAGTACAGAATATGACCTTTTTATCAGGCTTATTTCACTGAGCATGATGTTTCCAGGGTTCACTTATTTTGCAGCATGAATTAGTGCTTTATTCTTTTTTATGGCCGAATAATACTCCATTTATGGATGTACCACATTTTGTCTATCCATTCATCAGCCAGTGGACACTTGGGTTATTTCCACTGTTTGGCTGTTGTGGATAATGCTTCTGTGAACATTCATGTATAAGTATGTGCATGAGCATGTGTGTTTTCAGTGTGCATACTGGGTACATACTGGGCAGTCCATACTTGGGTACATATTGGGCAGTGGAGTTGCTGGGTCATGTGGTGACTCTGCTTAACCTTTTGAGCAGTGGCCAGACTGCTTTCCACAGTGGCTGCATTTTACTTTCCCACCAGTGATGTTTGAGGATTCCAGTTTCTCCACATCGCCCTAAACTCATGTTGTTACTGATTTTTGTATTATAGCCATCCTCCTGGGTGTGAAATGCCATCTTGTCACACTTCCGATCTGTGTTTGCCTTGATGACCAGTGCAGCTGAGCGTCTTTCATGTGCTGTTAGCTATCTGTGTATCTTCTTTGGAGAAATGTCTATTCAAGTCCTTTGCCCATTTTAAAATTTCTACTTTTGTTTATTTTGAGACAAAGCCTCACTGTCACCTAGGCTGGAGTGCTGTGACATGATCACAGCTCACTGCAGCCTTGGTCTCCTGGGCTCAAATGATCCTCCACCTCAGTCTCCTGAATAGCTGGGACTACAGGCACATGCCAACATGCCTGGCTAATTTTTAAATTTAGTTTTTGCAGACACAAGGTCTTACTAGGTTGCCCTGGCTGGTCTGAAACTCCTAGGCTTAAGCGATCCTCCCACCTCGGCCTCCCAAAGTGCTGGGATTACAAGTGTGAGCCACCAATGCCTGGCCCTTTGCTCATTTTTAAATTGAATTATTTGGTATTGGTTTTTGAATCTTTTGAGTTGTTCATCAGACATCCACATGAACATGTCAAGGAAGCAAGCCTTGAGTTCTGAGGAGAGGCTGGGTTGGAGTTTTACCTTTGGAAGTTGTCAGCAGGCAGAGATGAAAAGTCCAGAGTCTAGGTGAGCTCTGCCAGGGAGTGTGGGAAGAGGTCTGAGCTCTGAGCTCTGGGGGACCCCACTAAGTGGACTCAGAGATGAGGAGGAGCTGCCAGAGTGTAATTTCCTGGAAGCCAAGTAAAGAAGGTGTTTAAGTAGGGAGTGATCAATCACACTAAATGCTATTGATAGATCAAGGAAGATGGGGGCTGTGCTTTGACTGTTGTGTTTAGTGATGTGGAGGTCACCCGTGCTGACTGAGGTCAATTTGGGTGGAGTAGTGGTGAGTTGGAGAGAATGAGAGGACAGAGCTGGGTATGGAGTGTGCCTGACCTGGGTGCTGGGCCAGTTTCAGGATAACACACAGTTCATAATAACAGGAGACTGCAGGAACCCGGGGTGGGGCTTGGGAACTGGTGGAAATGCTCTCTGATTGCTTCTGTTTTTCCAGTAAAATAGGATGATCTTGTTAGATGATCAGCTGAGAATGAAGGTTGGGGAAGAAGTGGCATATGTTTGGAGAAGGAGAGGGTGACCGTCTAGCCAGCCCAAGGCCACTTGGGACACACGTGTTCTGTTTATTGACTCACTGTGATAAGCAAGACTGCACACCAGCGGGACTTGTGTGTCTCCATCAAGGAACAGAGAATCATCTGAGGGCACCAGGGTGGGTGTCCTTCGTGGCGTCTCTGACCTGGCCTGGTGCAGGGAGCTGGGAATGGGAAGTGCCATGAGTGCTAATGGGAAGCAGGGGGTCAGAGGAGCAGAGGTGTGGGAATAGGTGGTGAGTGGGGAGAGACTGGAGCTTTGCCAGTGGGGGCTTGGGCTGAGGCTCAAGGCCCAGTATGTGCTTAGGGAAGGGGGCTGCAGAGTGAGTAAGGGACCGACGAGTGTATTACAGGGGTAGGATGTCGAGGAAGTTCCAAAACAAGCTAATAGGGGTTACTCCTGGAGAGGGGCCCAGTGTGTGCTAATGGAGGATAGGGTGGTAGATTGCACCACTGCACTCCAGCCTGAGTGACAGAGTCAGAGCCTATCTCTTAAAAAAAAAAAAAAGAAAGAAAATCGGCCAGTTGTGGTGGCTCACACCTGTAATCCCAGCACTTTGCGAGGCCGAGGCGGGTGAATCACAAGGTCAGGAGTTTGACCAGCCTGGTCAAATATGGTAAAATGCCATCTCTACTAAAAATACAAAAATTAGCCCAGTGTGGTAGCAGGCACCTGTAGTCCCAGCTACTCAGGAGGCTAAGGCAGGAGAATCACTTCAACCCAGGAGGCAGAGGTTGCAGTAGGCCAAGATTGTACCACTGCACTTCAGTTTGGGCAACAAGAGCGGGACTCCGTCTCCCTTAAAAAAAAAAAAAAGAAAAGAAAATCACAGAATTTTGGAGATGAGTGACGTTTAGGCAAATGTAAATGAAGTAGTGTTTTGATGGGCTGAAAGCCATGTAGGCTGAGTGTAAAGGGGCCAAGATCTAGTCTGGACTACAAAGTGGTCCTCTTTCCTTGGAGACTACCAGGTTAACACAGATGTGCAGGATTGTTTTCAGAAACTCCTTATCTGAAGCTCTGCCTTGTTTGGAAATTGAGGTTGCTTCTCTGTGTCAGAGTGACTTTGATCCTCCAGGAAAGAGTGGGATGTTTTATTCCAACTGATAAGACTTCAAACTGCAAAATTTCTGGTAGTCTGTAATTGCAGAGAACAAAATTTCTAAATAGTAAGAAAGAAGTCTCCATCCAAAGGGGGTTTGTGACACTTTACGGCTGCAGTGTGCTCTTAAGGGAAATGCCGTTTCCTGTGAACTTTGTGGTTTCATTGATTTCTTGTCCCAGCTCTGTGAATGGGAGTGGATTTTTTTCTTTTTTTTTTTGAGTTGGAGTCTTGCCAGGCTGGAGTGCAATGGCACAATCTCGGCTCATCGCAACCTCTGCCTGCTAAGCAATTCTGCCTCAGCCTCCCAAGTAGCTGGGACTACAGGCGCACCCCACCACGCCCAGCTAATTTTTGTATTTTTAGTAGAGATGGTGTTTCACCATGTTGAACAGGATGGTCTCCATCTCTTGACCTCATGATCCATTTACCTTGGTCTCCCAAAGTGCTGGGATTACAGGCATGAGCCACTGCACCCAGCCAGGAAGTGGATTTTGTTTTCTTAAGGAGAAGGTAGGAGTGAGCTTCCTGTCCTGGGTTTTTCGTGTCTGGCTCCTCTCAGGCCTCTGGTCTCAGTGTGAAGGTTACCTCTTCAGAGAGGTCTCCTGGGATGCTTCCTCAAGGGAGTTCCTACGCTGTTGCTGTCTGTCCTTGAACTCTCATCACAGGATTATGATAGACCTTTTTGTTTACTTGTTTATTGTCTGTCTTCCCCACTAGACTTTCCCCTAAGCTCCAGCAGGATGAGAACCATGCTGGTGTAATTCACTTGTGTGTCTCCAGCATCCAGTGCAGGGCTGGGCACATAGAAGCTGCTCAGGATATGTTGTGTGAATGAGCAGCTGGAAGTCAGTGATGGAGGTGAAGGGAGCAGACTGGGATGGAGAGGCTGGTGAGGCAGCACAGAGCTTCCCCATGGCACTGCTCTGTCCTGGGGCTTGAGAGGACAGCTGGACTTGAGGCAGGAGAAGGCCCCTGGGGAATGTGGGCCATTGGGACTGTGGCGATTGGTTTGGGTACAGAGCTACAGTTTCTGTGTATACATTTCCTGGTTGGTTCTTTGCGGCAGGGTATTTCCAGACCAGTCCCTGGGCGCCAGCCAGAGCATGGACTGACCAAGTACCTAGACGGAGTCCTGAACTGGAGGAGATGCGCATTGGAGGTAACCTGCTTGTTGCAAGTGTCTCTGGCCCATTTCTGTCCCAGCGCCCTGGCATTCCAATGCTGTTCAGCTGGCTCCCACCGGCTTGGCCACATCCACTGTTAAAGTCTCCATACACTTCCATTCTGCTTGCATAAATCACTTCTGCCATCCAGGGTCCTACTTTAGGCCTCTCTGCTCCCAGGACCCTCCACCATGGCCTTGAACAGTTCCAGTGGTAGAGCCCACACCTTATTGATAGTCACTTATCGCTGGTGTCACCTCTGAGTGGTCATCTCTCTAATCTCACTACTGTTATTCTAGCTTGTGTGCTTGTCAGCTCCTGTCCCTGGTCATAACCAGGACCTCCTAACTGGTCTCCCAGCCTCAGTCTCTTTTACCCCAAATGTAACTTTCATAACTGCTGAAGAGTAGCTTTTGCTTCTTAAAACTGTTCAGGGGATTCTGAGTACCTCCCAGGGAACAGGACAGCTGATTAGCTGGGTTCAAGAGACTTTCAACCTCCCAGCCTCCACCTGCTACCCTAAGCAGCCTCTTTCAGTTGTCCTTTGTCCACCCTCTGTCCTCATCCCACCAGCTAATACATTTTGCTTACATTTGACTGAATATTCATGAGCATCTGTTCAATGCATGCTACGAGTCAGACAGTTAGACACAAACACCTCCCACCTAATGTAATCTAATCTAGAGGAACCCACATTGTAATAAAAAGTAATAATTATGGGAATAGCTAACATTGGGCATTTGGGGTAAGCTTGGTGTTCGATACCTGCTTTAATCCTCATGGTAATGTTGTGACTTTCAGGACCCTTTAGTAGAAGAGGCATCAGAATACATTCTTGGAAATGAAAGCTGACTGTAACAACTTCTTCTTGTTTCATTGTGTATTTTAGGAAGTTGTAGAGGATGTCAACATGGAAAAGCAGCCCCAGAACAGCAGGAGAGGCCTCACTCCCCGAGAGGTACCCCCAGCCGTTGGGCTGCTGCTAGTCATGGCCCTGATGAACACTCTGCTCTACCTCTGCCTTGACCGCTTCTTCATTGCCCCTTGGCAGTCCCTGGTGGACCCCAGACACTGTCCTTATGGTCACTTCAGGATAGGACAGATGAAAAACTGCTCACCTTGGCTGTCCTGTGAGGAGCTGAGAACAGAAGTGAGACAGCTGAAGCGTGTCGGGGAAGGAGCCGTGAAGAGAGTGAGTCTGGGTTCATTTCTGATTGCTGTCATCATGTTATTTCACTTAACAGTGTCCTCCAGCTCCATCCATGCTGGCATGAATTACGGAATTTCATTCTTCTTTACTGCTAAAGTGTACTCCATTGCGTATGTGCACCACATTTTCTTGTCCATTCATCTGTCGATGGACGTTTTGGTTGATTCTGTTTCTTGGTAATTGCGAATAGTGCTGCAGTAGGCATAGGGTTCATCCTTTGGGGAAACAGTGTGGCATCGAGTGTTAGGAGCCCTGTTGGCTCTAAGTGTCTGTCCTTACTTGAGCTCAGTAACCTCACATCTGGCACTTTATCTTTTTTTTTTTTTTTTTTTTTTTTTGAGATGGAGTCTCACTCTGTCACACAGGCTGGAGTGCAGTGGAACCATCTTGGCTCACTGCAACTTCTACCTCCCGGGTTCAAGCGATTCTTGTGACTTAGCCTCCCAAGTAGTTGGGACTATAGGTGTGTGCCACCATGCCTGGCTAATTTTTGTATTTTTGGTAGAGACAGGGTTTCACCATGTTGGCCAGACTGGTCTTGAACTCCTGACCTTAAGTGATCTGTCTGCCTCAGCTTCCCAATGGAACTTTATCTTAATAAGTAATCTAAGGCAGGAAAAAGGCCAAATGCATAAAGGAGTGCTATAGTGATAGGAAACTAGAAACAGTACTTTTAGAATAGTTCATTAAATGATAGTCCATATTTACCTGACAGAATATTCTGCAACCATTGTGTAATTAGGAACCCCAGGAGGCAACACGAAGAAAACCTTGTCATAATAAGTGAAGAAAATAAGATACAAAAATGTATAATTGACTTTTCAACTGTGAAATTGTATGTATATATAGATAAATACAGAAATGGCCAGGCGTGGTGGCTCATACATGTAATCCCAGCACTTTGGGAGGTGGAGATGGATGGATCACTTGAGCCTAGGAATTCCAGACCAGCCTGGGCAACATGGCAAAACCTGTCTCTACAAAAATTAGCCTGACGTAGTGGTGCATGATACTGGGGAAGCTGAGGCGGCAGAATCTCTTGAGCCCGAGGAGCTTGGGCTGCAGTGAGCCATGATCTTGCCACTGCATTTCAGCCTGGGTGATAGAGCAAGACCCTGTCTCCAAAGAAAAAAAAAGAAAAATATGAAAATGATGGAAATTGTGCTAGGGTGAAAGGGGGATTATGGAGAATTTTTCCCCCTGTTTTTTGAACTCTCTGATGGTATTATACTGATTTTTAAAACTTATTTTTAATTGGCACATACTAATGATACATATTTATGGGGTACATGATGATGGTTCCATACCTATATGCAATGTATAGTGATTGGATCAGCATATCTATCATCTCAAACATTTATCACTTATTTCAGTTGGAAACATTCAATAACCTCACTTCTAGCTATTTGAAAGTGTATATAATATATTGTTAATTTGAAAGTGTATAATATATTGTTAATTATAGTCATCCTGTGATGCTATAAAACACTAGAACTTGCTTCTCCTATCTAGCTGTTGTTTTGTATCCTTTAACAAATCTCTCTCTATCCTCGCCTTTGCTCTACCCTTCCCAGCCTCTAGAAACCTCTGTTCTGCTTTTTACTTCTTTGAGTAAACTTTTTTAAACTTCTGCATATGAATGAGAACTTGTAGTGTTTAACTTTTTGTTCCTAGTTTCTTTCACTTAACATAATGTCCTCTAGTTCCATTCATGTTGCCATGAATGACAGATTTCCTTATTTTTTATGGCTGAATAGTATTCCATTTTGTATATACATCACATTTTCTTGATTCATCTGCTGAAGGACACTCATGTTGAGTCCATATCTTGGCTATTGTGAATAGTGCTGCAATAAACATGGGGGTGTACATATCTCTTCAATATATTGATTTACTTTCCTTTGCATATATATATCCAGTAATGGAATTGCTGGATCAAATACGTTAGTTCTATTTGCACCTTTTTTTTTAAACTTTTTTAAAAATTTGTATCTTAGGTTTTGGGGTACATGTGAAGAACATGCAAGATTGTTGCATAGGTACACACATGGCAGTGTGATTTGCTGCCTTCCTCCACTTCACCTATATCTGACATTTCTCCCCATGCTCTCTCTCCCCGACTTTCCACCCCCCGCTGTCCCTCCCCTATTTCCCCAGAGAGACCCCATTGTGTGATGCTCTGCTCCCTATGTCCATGTGTTCTCATTGTTCAACACCCACCTATGAGTGAAAACATGCGATGTTTGATTTTCTGTTCTTGTGTCAGTTTGCTGAGCATGATGGTTTCCAGGTTCATCCATGTCCCTACAAAGGACACGAACTCATCGTTTTTGATGGCTGCATAATATTTCATGGTGTGTATGTGCCACATTTTCTTTGTCCAGTCTATCATCGAGGGACATTTGGGTTGGTTCCAGGTCTTTGCTATTGTACACAGTGCTGCAGTGAACATACGTGTGCATGTATCTTTATAGTAGAACGGTTTATAGTTCTTTGGGTATATACCCAATAGTGGGATTGCTGTGTCAAATGGAATTTCTATTTCTAGATCCTTGAGAAATCACCACACTGTCTTCCACAATGGTTGAACTAATTTACATTCCCACCAACTGTGTAAGAGTGTTCCTATTTCTCCACATCCTCTCCGGCATCTGTTGTCTCCAGATTTTTTAATGATCACCATTCTAACTGGCGTGATATGATATCTCAGTGTGGTTTTGGTTTGCATTTCTCTAATGACCAGTGATGATGAGCATTTTTTCATATGTTTGTTGGCCTCATATATGTCCTCTTTTGAAAAGTGTCTGTTCATATCCTTTGCTCATTTTTGAATGGGGTTGTTTTTTTCTTGTAGATTCTGGATATTAGCTTTTTGTCAGATGGGTAGATTGCAAAATTTTTTTCCCATGCTGTTGGTTGCCGATTCACTCTAATGATGGTTTCTTTTGCTGTACAGAAGCTCTGGAGTTTAATTAGATCCCATTTGTCTATCCTGGCTTTTATTGCCATTGCTTTTGGTGTTTTGGTCATGAAGTCCTTGCCTATGTCTATGTTCTGGATGGTTTTGCCTATGTTTTCTTCTGGTGTTTTTATGGTGTTAGGTTTTATGTTTAAATCTTTGATCCATCTGGAGTTGATTTTAGTGTAAGGTGACAGGTAGGGGTCTAGTTTCTGCTTTCTGCACATGGTTAGCCAGTTTTCCCAACACCATTTATTTAACATGGAGTCCTTCCCCCATTGCTTGTTTTTGCTGGGTTTGTCAAAGATCAGATGGTTGTAGATGTGTCGTGTTTCTTCTAGGGTCTCTGTTCTGTTCCATTGGTCTATATCTCTGTTTTGGTACCAGTACCATGCTGTTTTGATTACTGTAGCCTTGTAGTATAGTTTGAAGTCTGGCAGTGTGATGCTTCCGGCATTGTTCTTTTTGCTTAGGATTGTCTTGGCTATGTGGGGTCTTTTGTGATTCCATATGAAGTTTAAAGTAGTTTTTCCAGTTTTGTGAAGAAAGTCATTGGTAGCTTGAAGGGGATAGCATTGAATCTATAGATTACTTTGGGCATTATGGCCATTTTCACAATATTGATTCTTCTTAACCATGAGCATGGAATGTTTCTCCATCTGTTTGTGTCCTCTTTTATTTCGTTGAGCAGTGGTTTGTAGTTCTCCTTGAAGAGATCCTTTACATCCTTTTTTAGTTGTATTCCTAGGTATTTTATTCTTTTTATAGCAATTGTGAATGGGAGTTCGCTCTTGATTTGGCTCTCTGTCTGTTATTGGTATATGGGAATATACCAATATGTTCTAGATATACAATCATGTCATCTGCAAATAGAGACAGTTTGACTTCCTCCTTTCCTAATCGAATACGCTTTATTTCTTTTTCTCGCCTAATGGCTCTGGCTAGAACTTCCAAAAACTATGTTGAATAGGAGTGGTGAGAGAGGGCATCCTTATCTAGTGCTGGATTTCCAAGGGAATTCTTCCAGCTTTTGCCTGTTCAGTATGATATTGGCTGTAGGTTTGTCATATATAGCTTTTTATCATTTTATGATACGTTCCATCAGTACCTAGTTTATTGAGAGTTTTCAGAATGAAGCGCTGTTGAATTTTATCAAAGCCCTTCTCTGCATCTATTGAGATAGTCATGTGGTTTTTGTCTTTGGTTCCGTTTATGTGATGGATTACATTTATGGATTTGCGTATGTTGAACCAGCCTTGCATCCCTGAGATGAAGCCTACTTGGTCGTGATGGATAAGTTTCTTGATGTGCTGTTGCAATCTGTTTGCCAGTATTTTATTGAAGGTTTTTGCGTCATGTTCATCATGGATGTTGGCCTGAAGTTTTCTTTTTTAGTTGAGTCTCTTCCTGGTTTTGGTATCAGGATGATATTGGTCTCATAAAATGAGTTAGGGAGGATTCCCTCCTTTTGTATTGTTGGATCCAGTTTCAGAAGGAATGGAACCAGCTCCTCTTTGTACATTTGGTAGAATTCGGCTGTGAACCCGTCTGGACCTGGACTTTTGGTTGGTAGGCTATTGATTGCTACCTCTACTTCAGCCCTTGTTATTGATCTATTCAGGGTTTCAGCTTCCTCCTGGTTTAGTTTTGGTAGAGTACAAGTATCTAGGAATTTATTCATTTCTTCCTGGTTTACTGGTTTATGTGAATAGAGCTGTTTGTAATAATCTCTGATGGTAGTTTGTATTTCTGTGGGATCAGTGGTGATATCCTCTTTATCATTTTTTATTGCATCTATTTGATTCTTCTCCCTTTTCTTTTTTATTAGTCTGGCTAGCAGTCTATTTTGTTGATCTTTTCAAAAAACCAGCTCCTGGATTTATTGGTTTTTTTGAAGGGTTTTTTGTGTCTCTATCTCTTTCATTTCTGCTCTGATCTTAGTTATCTCTCGTCTTCTGCTAGCTTTTTAGTTTTTTTGATCTTGCTCCTCTAGTTCTTTCAATTTTGATGATAGGGTGTCGAT